TCAAGCAAGAGAATGGCTCGTCTCCGGGAAGAGCAACTGCAAAAATGATATCCGATGACCCCCCCTCCTGCATCACGGACACGCACTCATGACGAGATATAGCTGGAGTGGAGCTCTGTCGGGGGGGCATGTCGTGTATTGCGTGATGGTTTCATCAGCTGTGCGCGTTTTTGCAGCGGGGGTGCCAGTTGGTAGACCTCCCCTGCGGGGCAGGAAGCCCGTGTCGGGGTGTTCTGTGCCCGGTGTGGGCAGGAGAGATCAGGTGGAGCTGCTCTCCTTGCGAGGGGAGGCAAAAGCCGTATTTCATCAGTTTAGGGGGACACGGCCGGGCAGGGATGGTTCCGACCGCGCTGGGGGTGTGATCGGCGCGGCGAAGCGGCGATGTGGGGACCGGGCGGGCGGAGGCCGTTGCTAGGGGACAGTTCTCGCAGCTTCGGCCCCGTGTTCAGGACCGAGCTGGCCGGCCGGCGGGGCGACAGCCTGGCGCTGCAGTTTGCCGAGGAGGAGGAGGACGACGACGACTTGCAGTTTGACAGTGAGTGACTCCGCGTTTCACGCAAGGTCGTTTACTTCACATTTCCCTTGAGCGAATTTTTATTTTTGCTTAGAAAGATCAGGTCGTCGTTAGACGGTAAACCTCAGAGTTAAACCTCATGTGGGCGGAGAGGACTGTTGGGGCCCGCTCGGTTTCAAGTGTCACTCACGGCTGTCCTCAGCCTGGTTTCGGATTTCATCCAAATTAAGCCCGAACTGCACTTGAGCAATCACAACAAGCGTGTCCTCACGGAACGGAAGCGTTATCCCGCTCTCTGCCAGTGTAGGGTAGGTTAGCTGATACTGTGATCGGTTTACTGTAGTGCTTGTTTTCAATGTCATCTAGTAAGTCTAAAAATATTGTTTGTTGTTAAGAAGGAACTTTTAGGACTGTTGAGAACACACACGGGGTACTGTCGCAGAGGTGCAACAGTGAAAAGGTTCCCCGGTTCCGAACGGAACGTCAAGTGGGGAACACATTATGTGTTACTCCGACACTGAGGCCGACTGTAATCTCTCTCCTGGCTTGTGAAAAACATCATCGCCACCTTGAGATGCAA